TATCTTATTTCAATTTTTGTCCTATATCTTATTTCCAATATAACCCCTCCTGTTTTGGAGATGGGGTTTGCCCCCCCCCCCTAATGATTCTTCTAAAATGAGAAGCACCCCTTTGAAGCCGTGACCATTTCATTTCAGCTACAATATAGAATATGATCAATTGACTTTTCATCTAGGAAACACAAAAACAATTTTGCCTGCGGCAAAGTTGAAGAGCATTCAGCTATTCTATTAAAGCCCCATTATAGGCTGAATATTTACGTTGTGCAGCTGACACCCAAGACCAAATTATAATTCAACCATTTCTCGCCGGTATTCGGTAGTGCCCCACTGCTACACTTACCGTATATAGTATATTCAATGCAACAAATGGGATCCTAACCTATTATGGTGGACGGCCTCCCCAGGGGACACCAATTACCAAAAAGACATGATCAAATCCTAATTTGTTGCTCTGGATAGTATTTTTTGTCTAAGTGTCAAATTGTCACCCTGTATGTCCGACGTGGCCTAAATGGAAACATCACTGTCGGGCAGTTTTGCCCGACGCGACATGCAAATGGTCTCTAAAAATTTAATTTATTCGACATGACTTCACAAAATCATCTATTACTCCGTTAATATTTCATATATTCCAATGTAAAAATAACTATTCTGAATCAGAATTTAATGCTCTTCAAGATGAAACAAGTTTCATTCCAATATTTGAAACAGTTCTGAGATATGAGCTTCCAAAGTTGAAACTTTGAGTCAGATTTCCATAGAGCTCCTTTGATTCTACATCAAAAATTATTTTTTCGAGTTTTCCAAATTTCTGACTTCACCAGTGGGAAAATAAGGTCAAATTTGGTAGAAAAACATTGTGACAACTCTATGTTAAAGGTTTCGATATGATTTCACAAAATCATCTATTACTCGGTTAAATATTCCATATATTTCAATGTTAGAATAACTATTCTGAATCAGAATTTAATGCTCTTCAAGATGAAACAAGTTTTATTCCAATATTTGAAACGGTTCTGAAGATATAGGCCTCCAAAGTTGAAACTTTGAGTCAGATTTCTATAGAGTTCCTTTGGTCTTACATCAAAAATTATTTCTTTGAGTTTTTCAAATTTCTGACTTCACCAGCCAGAAAAATAAGGTCAAATTTAGTAGAAAAACATTGTGACCACTCTATGTTACAGGTTCCAAGGCTTAAAATATATTGAAAACACTTATTGATGTACGTTATTGACTGGCTTTCCAAAAGTGCACCCAACACCTCCATGAGTGTCTCAAAAAAATTGAAAACTTTCAAATTGCCTGTTTGAAAAATACAGCTACATAACTGGATAGCTATACTATCTTTATAAAAGAGTATTATTGTGTAATGCACCTGTAGATTTTTAGCTGAAAATATTTAGTGGACTTCCACCAGCAATTTACCCCAAGGTGTTAATATGGGTAAGTTGTGTTGGGTTAGTTGGGTTGGTGCTAGTGGTAGTGGCTTATTGAAATTTACAATAATTAAGACTTAAGACCCAAAAACATCTTTGGATAATTTCCAGTGACAGAATAGCTATATGGATTTAAAGTGGCTTAAACAGCAAAATTGTGGACAAAAATCAATTTTTTTGGGACACTCCAGCATTTTATTACAACAGTATCTACATCCAGCATACAGCGTTCTATTCCAACAATACCTACATACTACATAACCAGAACCCAGCATTCTATCTCACAACAGTGGATCATTCATCCTTCACACAAGCTCATCTATACTTTCTTCATTAACGCACTTTTGGAAAGCCAAATCAAAAAAAGAAAATTAATGATGAAAATAGATACTGGAAAACTAATTTTTGGACACCCTGTATATTTTACTAATTGCCAATAGTTATCATCAAATGAATTACAATTTAAATAAAAAAAATGAAAAAATAATAAGTTGGATTGTTCGAAATTCAGACATTAGAAAAATCAAGGGTTGTTTATTCAAGATTCAATAAATCCCAAACCAAAAAATAATTGTTGGTACTACTTACCAAAATCCAGAAGTCAATTGGTACACTATATGGGCACACGACACAATAATCTAGGCTTGTGTAAAAAAAAAATCGATAATTCTCGGACGCAACTGACGGTGCTTCATTTCCGGCGTTTCGTACTCGAGTAAATCCGAATAAATTTAAATCCCTTTGTCCGACAAAAACCCCCACAAAAAAAGGTAAACAGATAATGTAATAAATATGAATAAGTTAGGAGCAAAAAAAATTAACTACGTGATAGAATACAGGGTGGGCCAATGAAAACTTTCCACCCCGATTTTTTGGACTTGAAATGAAAATCTGGAAAAACGCTCAGACACGTCAGTTTTTTATTTGAGGGGGACCCATTTTTTAATTTTTATCACCCCTGTAGCTTCAACCCCCTAGCTGGGGGGAGCGCAACCCCCCAAATTCGAATAGGGGATAGGGGTCGTGTCATGCCTCTTTTTAAAGGTCTATGACCCTAGAATTTCGTCTCATTATTTTTATTCATAACTGTTTCGTCCACTCAATAGTTTTAAGTTGTTTGTATTAAATGGCTAAGATTTTCCTTCATTGAATTATTTTTGTTTTGTTTATTTTGCCAATTATTTATTGAAGTACCTACATACTTTGAATTTGGAGTAAACTTTTAATCCACGATTCACCCTTCAGATTATTTTCGCGTTCTTGAATATTTGAGGTCTTTATCTACTTAACGCATTGCCCTCATACAGGGTGTCCCAGCTAAAACGAAACAGAGGAGCTTTTACATATTTAGAATTATTTAAATGGAAAACACTGGGACACGTCGATTTTTGCATGAAAGGGGACAAATTTTAAATTCATCTTTAATGACCTACCTGTCATCCCTTAGCGGAGGCGCGTTCAACCCCTAAAAATTAAATAGGGAAAGTGGGTCGACTGACCCCTTAAATGAAAGCTCATTAAATTCTCTTTTCAACGGTACTACATTTATTGACATTTATGTCGAAAAATTTGACAATGACGGGTCCCACCCAAAACGAAACAAGGCAATTTAAAGGCATTTCTCGTTTTAAAAGTAAAAAAACGGCTAACACGTGACTCCGCAACTCGCCGCTGTAAACTGGATTAGGTAAGATCTCAATTGTACTCGTAATTTTCAAACCGCAAAATACAGTCCACTTTTCTCACAGCTGATGCTCAGCTATAGACTAGCCCGATGTGTATTTGACACTTTTATGATAAAATTCTTTTGTCTAAGAGATAGTTAAAATCACTAGTTTTCAAAATATGCTCATTTTTAAACATCGATATCTCAAAAACTAATCGTTCGATTTAATATTTTGCTATATGACTATAAAGGGATTGCAACGAGCTATCGAACAATGTGCCACACAAGGTAGGTTTGTATTTAAAAAAAAAATAAGTTAGGCGGGGTGACTCAAAAAGTTCCTCATTTTGGTTCCCCCTCCAATCCCCCGATACGTATTTGAGATCTTCCTGATATTATTTTTTGTCTAGGAGATATTCCTGATTGCTACTTTTCAAATTGTCACCCTGTATATTTCATTTACCTTATAAAGTCCAAAATTATGTGCGGTTTATATTTATTTTCAGCAGTAGCCTCTTATCTAATATAAAAGAAAGAAGTGTATCAGTCATGCAAAGGATCAGCAACAACTTACCAGAAATTTCGCATCGCATGGGTGTTATGAGGTTTAATCAAAATAAAAAAAAAAATACATAAAAGTTTTCAAAGGACCCCGCAATATTTAGATGGAAATTGGTTACCCGTGATATTTGGATGAAATTTAAATATGTTATTGGGGATGCCGTAAGCAACATTTTTTACCATGGGCACAACCCTGTATATATGACAGGTGAGGCCTGGTTAGCTGTCAAATATTGGAATCTTATATCCAAAAACAGAGTAACTGGTAGATTTTGATGAACCAAAAATCTATTTCTACGAAGTCGACCAAGTTAAGACGAAATGTGTCAACCATTTTGACGCCTGTCAAAACCCTGCCGAACGGCAGCACTCATCTTTTCCAGTTCTCAATATTTCATGTTGTCATTTGACATTTTTAACTTGTGTGTAAATTCTGAATTCAGGAAATTGAAAAAAAAATGACAGAACTGTCAAAACCTGTCATTTGTTTTAGTAGAAAAAAAAATAGTCTAATCTTCTTTTTTGTTTCAAGGTAGTTTATTGGTGATAAAACATTAAACAAAGTTCATGCATGTGACATTTTGAATCTGTTAATAGCTTTTTGGTTCATATTGAGTTTGTTTGTTTAGTGAAGTTCTACAACTAGAATGATAGAATAATACAATAATACAATAATATAATAGAACTAAACCAATTTTATGCCTGTTGTAGAATTTCACTCAGCAACAAACTCAATATGAACCAAAAAGTTATTAACAGATTCTGTCAAAATGTGACATGCATGAACTTTGTTTAATGTTTTATCACCAATAAACTACCTTGAAACAAAAAAGAACCAGATTAGAGTATTTTTTTCTACTAAAACAAATGACAGGTTTTGACAGTTCTGTAATTTTTTTTTTTTTTCAATTTTCGAATTCAGAATTTACATATAAGTTGAAAATGAAAATGAAAATGACATCATAAAATATTGAAAACGGGAAAAAATGAGTGCTGACGTTTGGTCAAAATGGTTGACATTTTTCGATCGACTTAGTGGATATCGATACTTCGTTCATCAAAATCTGCCATAGTCACTCTGCTTTTGGATATAAGATTCCAATATTTAACAGCTAACCACGCCTCACCTGTCATATATACAGAGTTGTGCCCATGGTGAAAAATGTTGCTAAGGGCATCCCCAATAACTTATTTAAATTTCATCCAAATATCACGGGTAACCAATTTCCATTTAAATATTGCGGGGTCCTTTAATAATTTACTTTATTGATTTAATAATTGTCATAAAATATCGAACTCTTATATCCTATAAGGATTAAATCTAGATGATTTACAAACTTTGCTTCTGATTTTCAAATCTGACGGCTCTTTCTTGGCAACTCTACAAACTTTAAACATTTTTGGTTCCTTCCTTATAGTCGTCTTCTTTTGGGAGTTTTTGGAATATAACTCAGCTTGTTTGGATGATCTTTCTACTCTTGAGGTTATTCCTGGTCTTCTTAGCCGTGCGACAATCTCTTCTTCCTCTTCTTTGATTGCACTTCTAACTTTTTGCCTCAATATTGGATCTCCCCGAGCCATGATACTAAAAGAAGACGAATTCCTTACAGCGGATACTAATGATTTAGAATCCAGCATCCTTAAAATATTGCACCATACTTCTATGGGCATTTCTGGAAGCCTAGCAGTGATAAAAGGAAGCAGAGAATACATGTTGACAGAGCGATTGTTGAAATAAGAATGGCTTTTGAGGAATTTGCACCCCTATTTATACCTGCAGAAAATCATAAATTATGGTCGATTCTTGGAAATATAGTTTTTCTAAGATTTCTAGTTGGAATATGTGATTATTTTAAAAGTATTTGAAGACGCGGATTAAGCCTACTAGTGGAGTCTGCATATTTAAATTCCCTCTCCTGAATACTTCTAAAGCCAAATAGCTGTCTCTAGCATTTCATTTTTAGGGGGGGGGCACACTTTGGAGAAATCGAAGCAAAGAACACAAAATGGAATAGGAGAATATTCTCAATGTAATAAATTTACACAAATCCATTCTAATAAATACATACCGTCAAACGAGGTTACTTGGGACACAGGGGATACTTTGGACATTTGGCAACGGTGGAAATATTTGACAGTTGCCAACAGCGGAGTGTTCAAAACTTTGTTCGCCAAAAGGTTATGTTTTAAAATTTTCCAGGTATGCTTCTTAATATTGCTAACTTGGCTATTTTCCACTATGTTGCCATGTGTATTTTTTTATTAGGATTTGTTTCTAAAAATTGACAAGCAAAATTATAAACAAATGTTTGATGTGGGGTTAAATGAGACATGTCCCATTTTACCCCATAAAAATTAAAACAAATTACGGTTTATCAATGTGTCCCATTTTAACTTATAAAAATAAGTTGGTTTTTGTTTTCAGCAATGCTATAAATAAATGTTCACTTTTTTACTTAAAACTTTCCTTTTCTTCTTTATTTTTAAAGTTTTACACAGCTGAAACTTTTTTATTTTGTTTCTTATTGTCCCATGTTGCTTTAGGAAGCTCCTAACTAAAGAATTAACGAAAAATTCAAGATGTCCCAATTTATCCCAACTTCCCTGGTAACTTGGGACAGCCACTGATTAATTTTTTTTTTGGCTTTGTATTTTTTTTACTAATAATTATGTTTATTTTTTTTTGGAAAATAACCTGTCTCAATATTTAAGCATGATTTAGAAATGATTTTCCTAAATTTATCAAAGTTATCCAAGCTTGAATGTCAAAATTGTCCCAAGTAACCCCGTTTGAACACAAAACCCGTCCAATATGACAATTGACAATGGAGATAAATGAATAAACCGAATCATAATGCTTCTGAAAATGTCGCCATTATTTGTTAGTCATAGCCACAAATAACTTAAATTTAAAAAATAAAACTAACTATACTATTCCTCCAAAATTAGAAGAACCAAATTCAATAAATGACTATTTTTCATCGGTGTATAGCCCATTACATAACCAACCGGAAACTGTAAGTTTCTATAAAGGAAAAAAAAATCCGAGAAAACCTGAATTTTTTTTTTAGATTGGCAACCGCAGGCGAAATTTTCAAAATAATTGGTCAGCTCAAATCAAACGCTTATGGTTGTGATGGTATCTCTGCCCAAATGATCCAGTATTGTGCAAATTTTATTTTAAATCATATAACTCACATCTTAAAATGTTGCTTAGAAATTGGTTATTTTCCAGAAATATGGAAATGTTCCTTAATAAAACCCCTACCTAAAGTAGGAAAACCTGAAGAATATTCCGATCTTAGGCCCATTTCAATCATTCCTGCTTTATCGAAAAACTTGGAAAAATTTTTGCAGCCACAAATTTATAAGCATTTGACAAGAAATGAAATAATCCCTCATTTGCAGACGGGGTTTCGTAGGGATCATAGCACTACTTTGGTTCGCGCGAATATTACTGACGAAATTATATCCTCACTGGACAGGGGTGACGTCACATCTTTGGTGTTGTTGGACTTTTCGAAGGCCTTCGATACCTTGGATCATGATGTCTTGTGTGCCAAATTTCATTATTCCGGATTTAATGTAACTGCGTTGTCTTTTTTTCAGTCTTATCTTGGTGGAAGAAAGCAAAGGGTTCTTTTGGAAAGCAGGGATCCGTCAGATTTTTGTGAGATAGCCTCAGGTGTACCCCAGGGTTCGGTTTTGGGACCAATTCTATTTCTGTTGTATATTGCGGATATGTTCGATGTTGTCAAGGCCTGCAAAATTCAGGGATTTGCAGACGATACACAATTGCGGCACTTGTTTCCCTTAAATCAGTTGGAAGAGGCCTCGCACGCTATAAACAATGACCCTAAAGCTCTAATTATGCGCAGAAAAATAATTTGAAACTAAATGCCTCTAAGTGCTCTGTAATGTGTTTTAGTCAAAAAAATATATTAAATTATTTTAAACAAAATTTAAAACTGTTTATTGGAACTACCGAACTTCAATGCGTGGATAAAGTAAAAAATGTTGTACTCTATTTTGAAAAAGACCTAAGATTCAACTTTCACGTTTCAAATATCCCTAAAAAAGCTTATTTCGCTTTGCGGCCGCTCTTCATAAACAGACACATAATAAATTTCAACTTAAGGAAAAAGCTTTGCGAATCCTTGATCTTGCCAGTTCTTAATTACTGCAACATTGTCTACTTTCCTTGTCTTCATAATTTTACTACGTACAGATTGCAAAAATTTCAAAATACATGTTGCAGATTTATATTTAATTTAAGAAAGTATGATACAGTGTCTGCAAGGATAAATGTACTTGGATGGCTTCGCCCTAAAATTTTATTTTCCTATAATAGTGGAGTTTAAAAATGATTTTATCGTGTCATTCCGTCGGAACTCTATTGCTAAAATGTAAAACCTATCTTATATCGTTCCTTACGCCTTAAGAAAGCAAAATCGATTGGTCGTCAAAAAATCGTGGGGTGCAGGGGTGTAGTTTGGGGTAGTTTTCCAAAAAATTGCAAAAATTTTTTTTTTCATTTTTCGAATCTACACTACGTGTTCAATGATCTGCAAAAGTTTTATTTCAAAATTCCAAGTAGAAGTATTTTATTTCGAATTTTGAAATGTTTGTACAACACGCATTTATATGGAGTACCTTAATATAAAACAGCTCGCACTGAAACATCAAAATTGCAACATCATTCACACATAGATAACTCAAAAATGCTTATTCTAATCAAAAAAACACTTTCTATAAACGCTGTAGATCAAAGATCAGGGATTCAAATGCTTTTTTATAATCAAAAATCCGATAAGTCGTTTTGCCAAAAACCTGTAAAATGTGAAAGCATGTCGTGGCGACCGCGTTCCGACGCAGAGATGCGAGGATGGTTGAAATTCCCTTGGCATGCGATTGATTCTATGTGGTGCACGGTCCGTATTAGATATCTACCGTTTATGACTTTTTGGTGTAAACTATTGACTGGATTTAAATTTGCATACAACTTGTATTTAACTTAATTCGTAGCTCCAATAATAACGGAGTTAGTAGGTAATTAATAACTTTTGTAATAGTGCTGAATTAATTCGGGGTACCCTATATTGTCTCTTTTTTGTAAGAAGGTATACTTACATACTATATTTTGTGAGTAGGTATTTCTATTATACAGCTGAAAATATCAAATATCAGTTGTGCGTGTCAAAAAAACTTGTTCGAATCTCATCAAAAATCCCGACAGAAATTCATTGGATGTACGAAGGTCCGTATGAACATTAGTCAAGGCAACGACACTGTATTAGGTCAAAAACACTTCACAGATAGTGAAGAAAATTCGGATTCTTATTGAATGATGTAAGATAGTTTAATAACAATGTTAATAAATTCTTATTAAATATTTATCTCTTTATTAGAGAGATATTGCAAATCAGCCCTAATAAAGCTATAATCTTATTTAGACGCGATAGGTTATTTCCTTACTTCGAATGATAAGTTTAGATATTGCAAATTTCCAGAAATGACTGGGAGCTGATGCCTCATTTCTAACCTGAAAATCTTGAATTTTTGTAAATGTTTTGGGGTGTCCATTTTGTACTGCATTTCTTGCTTCAAGCAGATCTCAGCAGGAGATCGGCGTTAACTTGTCCCATATAATAAGCTCATAAATAGCAGTTCCTAGCAGATCTTCCTGATTCTTTGAGCAGGTAGAGCAAGTACAAATGAACACTCCAATTTTTTAAGTTTTGAACCTGAAGTGTTTTCTTTCTGTGAAATGTATATCTATGCTTAGATATTTTGAAAATAAGAAATTATTTGTTCAAAATATTTGAATAGTACGTGTAAAATCGTAGAACAGTGGAAGGAATATGACATAAATTCTCTGCAAAACCCTCGGCAAAACCAGTTCATCGTTATAGGTAAAGTCTGTTTATTTTTGAAAGATAATTCCCCAAGTCAAAAATTTAGTAACTATGTTGGCAAGACAAGCCTTTTCTACATAAAAAATTTGGAAGCATTGACAATTTTACATTGTATTGTCGAATGTAATACCACAAAAGGTTTCAGGATTACCGGATAATACTTTTACCTGTCACGAAACGTATTACGCAGCAGTTGCTGGTAACGCGTTGATTGTCAGGTAAAAATATTAGGTAATCCTGAAACATCGAGTGGTATTCAAAAGGTTATACAACGAACTAAACTTTAATACTTTAAAATTTAAAAAAATGTCTATAATAGAATTTGCCATAAATGCCACCAAGCGCGATAATCCCAAAAGGCTTATCACTTATTAAGCCTCTCGTGTCATATGGGAATAATGTACAGTGAGTTGTATAACCAACCTAATATCATTTTGACTTTTATCTTTAAAATAAAAACAGACTTTACGTTAACCTCAGTCTGTGTCTTTTCTGTCCTCGATGCTGTTCTGATTTTGCTCCAATTCTCAAAGTATGAAAAAAAAAAAATCAAGAAAAGTCAAAAGGATAACGCACACTTAACATGGGATTTCTGGGCTCTATGGATTTTGCCCATTTTTTGATATGTTGTAGAGGATTTAATTCTGAACAACCTTTAAATGGGACGAAATCTTGTAGGTATTACGGTTTTTGAGATATGAGCCTTGAAAGATGAAATTTTTTGCAAGTTTTTGTGTGGAGAGTATACGAAAAACTGGTGTTTATCAGTCAAAATTTTGACAGGTCGACATATTTTAC